CCGGCCTCCCCCTCTCCCCCGTCTCTCCCCAAGCATTTCTACCAGAACAGGGCCCAGCCTCCCACGAGCGCGTCCCGCGTGCAGAGTAACACGACGGCCCGGCCCGGCCCGCCTGCCCATGTGTATCCAGCTGCTTCCCAGGTGATGATGATACCCTCCCAGATATCCTACACACCTTCCCAAGGAGCGTATTACATTCCCGGACAGGTGAGGGCTGTGTCCTGGGCATCCCTGGGTCTGGAGGGTGGGCTGGGGGTTGGAGCTTGGGGGGAAGAGGGGGTCCCCGGGCTCTGCGAGCGTGACCTGATCGGAGCAGGGTGCTGCTTGTCACTGCACAGAGGCAGTGCTGGTTCTCCCCTTCCTTCCACTTCTCCAGTGCTGCTGGCAGTACTGGGATGCACAATGCCTATTTTTCCAGGATCCTGCTCCCTGCCCTCCTGCCAGGGACAACAGTTACACAGCCGTGAGGTTCGGGGGTACCTCCGTGCCCCGCAGAGGGTGGTAGCAGACTTTATTTCTGCCTCATTGCAGGGTCGCTCCACGTACGTTGTCCCAACCCAGCAGTACCCAGTGCAGCCCGGTGCCCCCGGTTTTTACCCTGGAGCCAGCCCTACGGAGTTCGGGACTTACGGTACGGACTGCGGGAATCTTTGCTTGCTGTTGGTTTTCCATCTGCAGCGCTTCATCCCTTTTGCTACTCTGACTTTGGGCTGCCTGCAGCTCCTCCAGATTCAGGAGCTGAGTGCAGACACCTCCCTTGCCCAGGCTGCTGAGAGAAGGGGCCTTTCTGTACCCAGTGGCCCCCTGACAGACTGTTTTGGGCTCAGGAGATGTTAGTGTCTCCCTCCAAAGTGTGCTACCTGGTGCATCGTGTCCCACCTGCCCGTCCTCCCACCCATTTTTCCAAATCTGCCCCGTTTAATGTTTAACCGGCCTGGCAGGGAGGCAGGGCAGACTTTATCCCCTGCTCCCGCTCCGGCCACTGTGGAAGGCAGGGAGCAGTCGCTGTGTCTCTGCTGCCCCCCAGACTTCACTCCTATTTTGTCCCCTGTCCCCCGCTGCACCTCCCAGAGCTGATGGGGAAGGGGCTGGGGCCGCGGGCGCTCCGTGCCTGCCCTCTCCCGGAGCTGGGGAGCGCTGGTGCAGGCAGCCCCCCTTCTTCCCCCGCTCACATGTGGCCACCCGGTTCGTGACTATATTTAGGCTAGGTCTGTCCCGGGAGGCCTTGCACACACAGAAATGTGAGCTGAGGCCTCCGTCCCGTCCCCGGCACGGCAGCAAAGCAATCCGGGCCGGAGATGGGTTTCTCTTGAGCCAGGTATGTGTCTGTGCTCCCTCCCTTTTGTCCCATGTCTGACGTGGGCCCCTCGGAGGAAGGAAGTGGCCCCAGGCAGGAGCCGGCCGGCTGGCTCCCCCGCGCGCTCAGGCCGTGGCCTGTCTGCTCCTCCGTGCTCCGTCACGGGC